GTTATTTAACCAGTTTATTTAATGTAAAAAATGTATATATATATACATATATAACATACTCGGTGACAATGTTAAAACGGTTTAGGAATATCTCCCATTGGTTATGATCAAAGCTACTTGGCAATTGAATAGACGTTGGATTATACCATGTATAAATTGGCCAATCTGACCTTACATAGAACGATTGTACGAAGTATGGTGAGGTTTTAATTGTTGAATAAGAACGCATATTTGTAGCTACAGCTGCAGAACGTTTGTGTTTAATCTCTTGTTTTTTCTCCTCGTTAGTTAATGATTCATCAGCTATATTATTGCCTTGTAAGTATTTAATCATATCCATCTATATAGATGCATAGCGAACATTAAATTGATTAATTAAATTAATAAAAAAAAGCCGAAGACTTTACCGTGTAATCAGACCTCAACTCTAAATCTTTAAGATCATCAGGTGGAGGTTTTAAAAACATTTGAAAAGATCTATCACTTCTCAATGACACAAATAAGATTTTTATAAGATGCATCTTTAAATCAGTTAGGTTTAATTCATTATCTAATCGAGTTAACCAAGAAGAATAATTCATTTTATCTAGAATAAATCATATTATACATTTAAAAAATGTTCAAGATACACTCCTTATTATTCTAATTTCTCTTTAAGATACCTGTTTCATTATCTAGCCTTATAATAGATAGATGGTTAATTTGTCGGTAAAATCCATATTTTAATGCTTCATCTGTTTTTTCTTTGTTATTTATCCTTTTTATGATTCTCGGCGAACATTCAGTTCGACTATTCATTTTAATATTTGTTTTTAAAATTTAAAATTTAATAATTTACTAAATAAAATGGATAAAGTAGATTTGCTTTATTTTTGTTAGTAATTTATTTATTGTTTTTTAGTTGCCATGAGTTATTTTGAAAAAAAAACAGGTTTATATTAATATGATGTTTTATAGTTATATCTATTATTATTATATCTATATTATTATACCTTTTAATTTATAGATATAAATAGTATTGTTCGGTTTCTAGTTTTATACAAAAGTCCATAGACGTGATTTTTCAATAAAACACGTTGACATATATGACAAACTTGTCTTTTAAATATTATTTCCGATCCCATCTCCATCTTCTTTTTCTATTTTTTTTTATGTTTATAAATTCTTTACAACTTAAAACAAATTTATAACTTATTAAGAAACGTATTGTTATATAAAATAAAAATATGTAAGTTTCATAAGTCTTGATTCCTAGGTAGTTAAACAATATTTACACAATAATRCGTAGTTTTCGTTGAAAATTAATGAAAAATTATATAGTTC